TTTCTAATGTGCTTTTTAGAGGTGCTGTTGCTGGTGGTCCTTGGACCACGCTTAAGATAACAGCTTTAAACTGATACTTCGCTACTTTAACTATGACTTTCACAGTTTTACGATTTAGGCTGTCATTTACTTCATTGCTTGTGGGTAGCGTTTTTAGAAACTTTCCTTTTAAAATATATTAACTTTCATTGTAAAATAAATCACTGTATTTTCTTTGAAGAGTGAGCATTCAGTAGTACTTCTTTTTGTAATAGTCTTCCTTAGATATAATTCAGATACCATAAAATTTACCCTTTTAAAAGGTACAGTTCAGTGAATTTTAGTATATTCACAGAGTTGTGCAACCATTACCACTAGTTAAACCATAATGCTTTAAGTACAGGTTTAGATCTAAACGGAAAAACTCAACAGTGGATTGATCACTCTTTTTTAGAAATTCATTTATTCATAAAAGATGTAAATTTTACACTTTTTTTCATCTGGAGTGGCTTTCTTATTGCTCATTTGTTTATCAAATACTTATTGAGTGTCTGTTGTATACCAAACACTGTTCTAAGATTTTGAAACTATGGCCAGGAAGAAAGCTGTTGAAATCTTTGCCCTCATGGAGAATGCATTCTAGTGGAGGAAAATAGACAATAAACAAAACAAATAAGTAAAGTATAGTGTGTTAGATGGGGGTAGGCAGGTGGAAGAAAATGGAGAATGGGACAGGAAGAGGTTACATTTTAAGTGGAATGCTTAGAGGAAGCTTTGTATTTAGTGTAGTAAGTTAATTTTTTAGGGTAAAATACAATTTTTTTTTAACTTTAGCTGTATCAGATTTCAGTAGTGTGGTTTTAGAAACTGAAAATGTGAACTCTTGAGAGATTCTTTACTGTCTTTTTCTATTGAGCTAAATAATATTTGAGTCCTTGTTACATACCAGTACCAAGTTGGCTGCATTTAAAGGTGCTAACTCTGAAGTCATACATGCTGAGCTGACCACTGTATTACAGTTTTAGCAAGGGGAATGGATGTGCATCCCCCATCTTTTTTTTTTTTTTTTTTAATGTCGTTGGGATTGTTGTATTTTTAGACCAAGGGGATAGAAGGGAGGTTCCTGGTGATTTATACTAGTACATACATAGCATCCCATCAGGCTCTTGGAATGAGGTGATGGGTATTGAATAGAGAGTTTCTCCTTCTAGACAGCTGCTACATTTTTCTAATTTTGGAAGATAAGTTTTAACATCTGGTATAGATCAGTGTACAATTTTGTAACAGAATTGATTGCTTGAAAGTTCTAACGTGTTTGTATACAGTAGAGGGCATCTCACAGAATGGGCAAGAAGTGTTTGTAGGATGATGCAGAACTTTGTCTCCAGTGACAAATGTAATTAAAAATAGCAAATAACCTAACAGTCTTTCTGTTTGATTCCATATTGTTACATTGTCCTGAACTAACTAGAGCCTGGCAGTCAGATTCCCATTGAGAAATCATTGTAGCTGCCTTAGGACTGATTTCCATTCTTTGCCATGGAGAGCGGGACAACAGCCCTGACCTAGCTGAGGTGCAGGGCAGCATCTGGAATGTGTCCTGGGAGACTTGGAGGTGATCAGCAGTTAGTAGAAGCTGCTTTTCATTAAAGTCTTTGGATTTAATGAGGAGAAAGACTGCTGCTTTTATGTGAGTGGCTTTCTGCACATTCCATCCTCAAATCAACACATGCCCTCATAATTTAAGGAGAGAACTGTGCCATTGTGAGGAAAGAGTTTAGAGAACAAAACAACTCAGGATAGATTTGCAGCTAACCGAGTGATATCTAGTACAGTAACATTTCCACATTCAATATAGTAATTTTTAAAAGTCTGCAAGTCAAGGCCATCCTTGTGTGGAAGCTTGAAAAATTGTCAGACTAGACCAGGGCTGAAAAAGAAACATAGTCAGTGAATGCAAAAGATAAGCCAACGTTTGTGTTGTAAGAGAGGGTCACCTTTTTACTGAAAGGGAAGAACATTGCGAAGAGCAAGGTTTGGCATGTTTTCTGCCTCTCATCTGCGTGGGTTTTGCCCCTTTTGGACCCTTAGCCCTTTGAGTTTCTCTCAGTTGAGCTCCAGTCCTGTAACTATGAACTGTTCACTGGCTCTCCCACAGTTATGTTAAACAAATTCAGACCCCCAAATAAATGTACTATCTCTGTACTGGCGTACTTTGCTAACACTTTAATCCTAGCCATTTTGTGTTCCCAATGACATACCTCCCAAATAATGTCCTTTCTTTTGGTAGAATAGATAAGGTGCTAATCAGTCTTCCTGGTGTGATTTTCACACTGTGATCTCAAGAACAGCGTGTACGGAGAGTGCTTCAGGGGCACTTGGAGGACGGAGGCTAGTTTCAGGGGCTCTGGGCTCCTCAGTCAAGCAGTTCTCCTTTGTGAGAGAGAGGTTTTATTACTCTATCTAAAAAGAGTCTGCAAACTACTGGCATAGAAAAAAGAAAAGCTCTATTGTTTGGAAGTTTATTTTGGGAGAAGGAAGAAAATAGATTTCCCAAATTGTTGTTGTTGTTGTTTTTCTTTCCTTTCTGGAAATACTCACTTTCCCTTGGAAATTAGTAAGTACCTTAATTTTTTTTCTTCTTTGTTTAATGGAGGTACTGGGGATTGAACCCAGGACCCTAGTAAGTACCTTCAAATCAGGTGGGATTGATTCTGGTCTTGGTGATAACACCAGATTTTGGGTTTTTTACTGAGCCAAGTGAAGTGTCTCAAAGTAATGCTGGCTCTTGGTAATGGTTTTGATATAAAACTACCAAATAATGTTCCGGTTAAGGTGTCTTTTTGATAATAGTTTTCAAACTTCTTGTGCACACATTTCCTTTTGTTTTCTAATGTTAATTCTTACCTCTATAATGACATACAGCTTTGGATTTTTTTAAACTTTTTTTTTAAATTGAGTAATAGTCATTTTACAATGTTGTGTCAAATTCCAGTGTAGAGCACAATTTTTCAGTTATACATGAATATACATATATTCATTGTCACTTTTTTTTCGCTGTGAGCTACCGTAAGATCTTGTGTATATTTCCCTGTGCTATACAGTATAATCTTGTTTATCTCAGCTTTGGATATTTTTATCTTTATGCTTAATTTAAGTTGGAGATAAGCAGATGGTATTCTTTGATTTGTGAAGTGATAAACTTTACTCAATTTTTTTTGAAATTTAGGAAAAAGTTCTAAAATGTATATTGTCTCTTCCTCATCAGCTGATGTAAGCAATGGCACAGTAAAGAAAGAGTCTTCTAATAAAGAAGTAGCAAGAATATGGATAAATGACATGAAAATGAGGAGTTTTTCCCCCACCATGGTGAGTTTCAAAAGCTGTATCTGTATTTTTGGTATGAAAATACACTTGGCTAACTGTAACCCTTAGGAAACTTTTTGTGTGAAGAGTACTCAGCTACATAAACTGGTGAATAAGCATTTAATCTCACTGGAATAAACTAATACATACTGAACATGGTCATTTTGACTTGGATATTTGATAGGATGTGGTATTACACGTAGTACTGACATCTTTTTGTTGTGACTCTCACCTGAGAAGTAAAAAGGACAATGTGGAGTTAACCAAAAGTATTTGATAATTATTATCATTTTAGGATTGAATCTTACTATGTATTTAGTTATGAACTGTCAGATCATATAGTGGTTTAGTTACGAGTAATTACATGATAACTTTTTTTCTTACATTTTGGAAATGCTATATGCTTCATGTAAATTGATTCTATACATGTGTTGAATAATTATGCAGTATATAACCCTGTGTGTGTGTGGCAGGTATCTGGCTTCCTCCTTTAATAAACATATAATTTGACAACCACGTGGTTTAAGTAGTAATATTTAAGGTACAGCAAGAGGTACGTTGTGATGCTCACAATAGGGATTGTGGGTTTGGAGGAAGATAAAACTCAGATGGGGTGAGAAGACTTCACTTTATGGAGGAGGTGTGTGGAGCTTGGGAGGAGTCTGGAGAGACTTTGAGAGGGCATTTTAGGAAGGGAGCTACAGCATTAGTAGATACAGAGGAGGTGGTAGCCATGTGCTCTTAGGATACTTGGCTTGCAGGAAGAAATTGAAATGGGTCTTTGGGGGTTCTGTGGAGGGTCCCGAGTTGAGTTTGATGTGTTTGGGACTTGGTGCAGCAGCAGTGAGGGAGGGCCTCTGGCAGGAGAGGGAGCTGCTACTTGTGTTAGTGACTCACGATGTGTTGCGCGGTGGGAAAGAAGAAACAGGTTGGGAGGTTGGTTAAGTAATCCAGAAGGGAGGTGATAAGGGATAAACTGGAGAGATTGCAAAGGTGATTGGAAAGGGTGAGGGGAAAGAAAAAAAAGGAAGAGAATACGAGGTGACTGAGTATATTGGTACTGGAGAGTTGATTGGGTTGGAGAGACAGTAGAGCAACCTGTGCCTGAGGCTTTGAATGGGGACCAGGGGAATAAGCACTGTCGTTGTCAGTTTACTTAGTGGTTGCATGCCAGTGGCTTACTTGGAAATTGAGTTTTAGAAAATAAGATTGCATTTTTTCTTTAAGATTAGTTGGTGCTCAAGTTCCTAGTCTAGCCCATGTTGCCTGTAATATGGCAAAAGTTCTATATTGTCTTTTTTTAATTATTATTATCAAGTTATTTTTTATTTTTTGTGAGGGATGTAATTAGGTTGGTTGGTTCGTTTGTTTTAGAGGAAGTACTGGGGATTGAACCCAGGACCTTGTGGATGCTAAGCAAAGACTACCACTTGAGCTATACCTTACCCCAAAAGTTCTATATTGTCTTAGCAGTGAGGAAACATCTAACAGATTGCAAACTGGTAGCCTCTGGACCAAAACCAGTTGACAGATGTGTTTTGTTTGGCTTCCACATAATTTTGGGAAAAAAATTTTTTTCAAGAGGCCTCAAGAGGTTTACTTATTTATTTTAACAAGAGATACTGGGGCTTGAACCCAGGACCTCATGCATGCTAAGCACGCACTCTACCACTGAGCTACACCCTCCCCCTGAAAAAGTTTTGAGTATGTTTCTAACATATAAAAATTCTGATTTCTAGATTCTCTTGAAAAATAGGAGTACCTGACAATCTAGGCCCACATTCCCCACCTAGTATTAATATCTCTAAGGTTGAGTAGTGAAATATCTATTTTGTGTGTTGGGCAGGCATTCTCCAGGTACCACAGTCTTCCTCCCCTTCATTTGTCTCCTTGACCCTAAGCTTGGTGTCTGTTGCCATTTTATATCCAGCTGTCTTAGAAATACTACTTGTCTGGTCCCCACCTCATCCTCCAAATATACTGGTGGTAAAAAAGGAAAAAATGTTGGAGAGAGAGAAAGAAGGAGACTGGTCTTTTAGCATAGTATGCATTCCTATTTTATAGGTGGGGGAAAAGGTGCAAAGGGAGGGAAGGGAAGGAATCAAAATTTAAATAATTTGCCCAGGGCTACACAAATAACAGCAGAATTGGGATTTGTATCTGTTTATTTGGCCAGCCCCATTTTGTCTCTTATTCCTGAAACTGGGTTTCATTTTGGCATACTTTCTGAGAATATTTGGAGTTTTGTGTTTTGTTGGTTTTTTGTTTCTAAGGACCCCACGGGTTGATGTTGACTGAATGTTTATCTCCCACCTCCCTTTTTCTTCCCACGTTTATTGAGCATCTATATGTCACCGTATGCTGCTCTAGACTAAATAAAAATAAGTAAAACTGAAAGAAGAGCCTGACCTTACTTTTTAATGCCGTGCTATCCTTGGCATTACCTGTAGGTCCTGACTGGGTTTTCTCTGTCCTTCTTCTACCGTTTCCTGGGTCTCACAGCTGCTTGTCTACATTCTCCTTGATCAAGCACGCATTAATAAAGAGCTTTCCTAGTGGTTTACTGATGGGAAGCCCTTGAAAAAGCCTCTTTTCACTATTTTCCTATCCCTTTCTGCCTCTATCCTGTGAGATTCTGTGGAGAAACACTGGGTATGGTGACCATTCACTCAGTTTGCTTGGGACAGTCTGGGTTTACTCCTGTTTTCCTGGTACAGTTACTAATAGCTCCTCATTTTACTTTCAGACGTGCTAGGGTTTGGAGAGAAGTGATACAGGATCCTGTATCCGATTGTTGTGTCTGCGGAGACACGGGTGTCAGAATAAATTTCCCTGTCCTTCAGAAGAATTTTAAAATTCCAGGTCTTCTGGGGTTCTGCGGTTTTAGGATATGAGGGAAAGAAAACAGATGGAGGAGAACTGTAAAGAGGGCAGGATGTGAGGCTTCTGCCCAGGAGACTGTAGGATGTGCTCTTGGAGCTTAATCCACCTTTTCTCTTCCGACCCCTTGCTGTTTCTGGAACTGGAATGAAGAGTGAGGACTGAGGTTAGAGAGTTCTGAGCATCAGGGAGGGTAGTAAGCAATATTGAAGGGGAAGTAGTCTGAGATGATGGTGGAGCTGTGTGGTGACCCATTTGATAGGGATCAGAATAGGTCATGCATTGTCTGTGTCTATCATTGGAGAAGCAGGGAAGTCACAACATATGACCCAGATTGTAGGGACTATAGAAGTGATACTTCATGTTTCCAGGACTGAAGATAGCAGGTTTTCCTGCAGAAGCATTTTTCTGTGTGTTGGCTGGGCCTCCAGTCTCTGGACTAAGTTGATTTTGCTCTGTGTTATAGAAGGTCCCTGTTGTGAAAGAGGAAGATGAACCAGAGGAAGAAGATGAAGAGGAAATGGGTCATGCGGAAACCTATGCAGAGTATATGCCAATTAAATGTATGTCTCTGGGACTTGTCAAAATAATGAAAGACTTCTGGGTTCCTTCTGAACTTAAAAACTTCCCCACACATACTGTATTATCTGTTAGGATATATTTATGTTCGGTACCTCAGGATTTCACAAATATGAGCTTTTGTAATATATTTTAAACTATAATATGTTTTAAAATAACCACATGAAAATTTTACTATGAATTTTTTATTTTTCTTCACAACATTTAGGGGAGGGGCATGTAATTAGGTTTGTTTGTTTATTTATTTGACGGAGGTCCTGGAGATTGAACCCAGGACCTCATACATGCTAAGCATGCACTCTACCTCCGACCCCACAAACTTAGAACTTTGTTTTAGAATGAAATCTTTTAAAACTAAGAGTAAAAAAGCTTTTTTCTTTCAAGTTAATTTTGCTCTTATCAGCAGTGATTATAAAATCATAGTAAATTACAGAGATATAAACACATAGCTTAATAGTTTATACAGCTTACTTAAAACAGATGATGAAAACATGGGAATCTCTAAAGTAAAATGTGCTATTTGAATTCAGTGGTTTATATTAATGCCATGTCTATCTTTTTTCAGTTTTCTTAGTGGCCAGTATATTAAGTTGAAAATTAAGAATTTTTAGCTTTTGTATAAAATTTTTCACTTTTTAATTTTATGAGGGTAACAAGATGGAGAAAAAAAATCCATGACCAGAATTTGTCTCTTAAATATTTTGATAATATAATAAGACCACTTAAACTAAAAATCTCTGTTTACCAACTATGTATAGATTCCAAGATCCCATACTTTTCTGGTCATTTAAAATGATGCCTTAGTCTAGGATTATGTTCTGTTACTACTGGAGAACCTGGTGATATGAGCTAAGATGGTATTTTTCTAGATCATTTTAATCAGTAAGTCTATATTTAAGCCATAGGTAGTTGATAAATAGGTCACTGTAGTCAAATTTAAACAATACTTCACCATCCATCAATGCTTTGTATAAGATCTCAGAGTGTATAGTTACTTATTTTCTTATATATATTATATGGTAAGCCTGGAACTGTTATTACTTAGAATGATTAAAATGAATATTTTAAAATTTTTGTTTAGTAAAAATTGGCCTGCGTCACCCAGATGCTGTAGTGGAAACTAGTTCTTTATCCAGTGTTACTCCTCCTGATGTTTGGTACAAAACGTCTATTTCTGAAGAAACCATTGATAATGGCTGGTTGTCAGCATTACAGCTTGAGGCTATAACATATGCAGCCCAGGTACGCCATCTTTTATAACCACATGCAGTTTTTATCTTTTGATCTTAGTTCATGTGATACAGTTGTTTCAATTTAGAGGTAAGTTTTCCTTGAATGAAAAACTTGTGGGTGTAATTTTTATAGGAATTTTATGTGTTAGAAAATTAAAGAGTAGGGTTGATGTGGGGGGTTCCATGTTTAGTGGAAATGATAACATATCATGACCTTTTTGGGAATTTCCTCACTGGGAATATGTATTAAAATTAAAAATACCTATATCCTTTGACCTAACAATTCCATTACTGGGAGTCTATCTCATAGAGCTATTAAATAAGAACGTAACATATAAGGCTATTTGTTGCAGCTTCCCCCCCCCCCAGTAGCTGAAAGCTAGGAAAGATTTGAAAGCCCCCACCCTTAGTGAGTAATTCCATCTCAGGAGTCTACTTCTTCCACTGAAGTCTTTAACCCCTCAAAGTCATCCATGAGGGTTGGAATCAGTTTCTTCCAAACTCCTGTTATGTTGCTATTTTGACCTTTTGCTGTGAATCACAGATATTCTTAGTGGCATCTGGAGTAGTGATTCCTCTCCAGAAGGTTTTCAGTTTACTTTGCTCGGACCTATCAGAGGAATCACTATGGCAGCTATAGCCTTACGAAATGTGTTACTTAAAGAATAAGACTTGGGGAAGAAAAAAGAATTAAAGCTTGAAAGTCGAAATCACTCCTAGTTCCATGGGCTATGGAAGGGATGTTATGTTACAGAGCAGACACGAGAACGACCTTAATCTGGTTGTACATCTCCATCAGAGCTCATTGTCAATGCGCAGTACTATTTTGAAAGGAACCTTTTATTCTGAGCACTAGGTCTCAACACTGGGTTTCACATGTTCAGTAAACCATGTTATAAACAGATGTGCTACTTTTTTATAGCATTTGTAGAGCCACAGGCAGAGTAGATTTAGCATAATTCTTAAAGGGGCTAGGATTTTTGGAATGGGAGATGAGCATTGGCTTCAACTTGAAGTTGTCAGCTGCATTAACCCCTAGTAAGAAAACCGCCTGTCTTTTGAAGCTTTGAAGCCACACACTGACTGCTTCTCTTTAGCTGTGAAAGTCCTGGATGGCATCTTCTTCCAACAGAAGGCAGTTTCGTGTACATTGGAAATCTGTTGTTTAGTGTAGCTGCCTTCACTGATACTTTAGTTAAATCTTCTAGCTTCCACATCAGCACTTGTTGCTTCACCTGCACTTGTATGTTACAGAGATGACTCCTTTCCTTAAACCTCACGAAACAACCTCTGCCAGCTTCAGACGTTCCTTCTGTAGCTTCTTTACCTCTCTCAGTCTTTGTAGAATTAAAGAGAGTTAGGGCCTTGCTCTGGGTTAGGCTTTGGCTTAAGGGAATGCATGGCTGGTTTGATCTTCTGTCCAAACCACTAAAGCTTTCTTCACTTTAGCAATAAGGCTGTTTTGCTTTCTTATCATTTGTTTACTGAAGTAGTGTTTTTAATTTCCTTTAAGAACTTTTCCTCTGCGTTCAGAACTGGGTTGTTTGGAGCAAGAGGCCTAGTGTTCAGCCTGTATCAGCTTTCAACATGCCTTCCTCTCAAGTTAATTATTTCTAGCTTTTGATTTAAATTGAGAGACATGCAGCTCTTCCTTTCACTTGTATGCTTAAGAGTCCATTGTAAGAGTTATTAATTGGTCTAATTTCAATACTGTGTGTCTTAGGGAACAGGAAGGCCCAAGGAGAGGGAGAGAGTTGGGGAAAATGGCCAGTCAGTGGTGCAGTCAGAACACACACAACATTTATCAATTTAATTCACAATTTAGTTCATCTTCTTACATGGGCAGGGTGCGAGGCACCCCAAAACAGTTAAAATAGTAACCTCAAAGACCAATGATTGCGGATCACAATAACAAATGTAATAATAATGAAAAAGTTTGGAATTACCAAAATGTGACACAGAGACACAAACTGAGCAAATGCCATTGGAAGAATGGCACTGATAGCATTGCTTGACCCAGGATTGTCACAGACCTTCAGTTTGTGAGAAGTGGAATATCCCCTGAAGTGCAGTAAAGCGAAGCACAATAAAACGAGGTATGCCTGCATGGTCAGTGTAAGTGTCCACACTAAGCCAAACTCTGTGCTGTTCATATGAAAATGCATAATGTTATGTTTCTAAAACAGTGTGTGAAAGACTGATGACCAACGTCTAACGGAGTAGATTAATTGCCAGCTTTTCCTTTTTCAGCAACATGAAACATTCCTGCCTAATGGAGACCGTGCTGGCTTCTTGATAGGTGACGGTGCTGGGGTGGGAAAAGGAAGGACAATAGCAGGAATCATCTATGAGAATTATCTGTTGAGCAGGAAGAGAGCTCTGTGGTAAGTGCTGAAGGCCGGCCATGGAAGCTTGTGTTTGTGAATAATCCAGTGTATGAGGATGGGCTTTAATGAGGAGGTGTAAGTTTTTGAAGTGTCAAGACCTGGTTTTATTGACTCTTGAATACTGCTAGAATGATGGAATTTGCCTTTAATTTATGTATTTTTCTTTTCTCTCTTTCTCTTTTTTTGGTGGCAGGTTCAGTGTTTCAAATGATTTAAAGTATGATGCTGAAAGAGATTTGAGGGATATTGGAGCAAAAAACATTTTGGTGCATTCATTAAATAAGGTATGAAAATTTTGTATTCAGCCACTACTGTTGGTGTATGGATTACTGTGTGTTAAATACTATGCCAGGTAGGGTTCTTAGTGGCAAACAAATAGGCATTGTCTCTTTTTATAGAGTTTGTTCTTTCAGTTTTCAGGGTGGTTTGTTTTTGTTTGTTTGTTTGTTTTGTCTGTTTCTGAAGTAACTTTCTGTGGGCAAAACTCGTAACTGAGTGTGGGGTGCAGTGTCATACAGCTGTCTGGACTGGCAGTGCGCCCTCATAGCACATAGAGAACTGTGGTTTGGAGCCTGGTTTAAATGTTCGTACTTTCAGTGAACTTGTATTAAACCTGTACCTGTGTCTTGTTAAAACAGTGCTGTCAAGTGGTAGAAAATGTTTTCATTGTCTAGAAGCACAGTTTAATGTGATTAGAATCTTAATGTTCATTTAGCAAATCTTTATTGACCTCCTACTATGCACCAGTTCCTGGAGTCACAAGGGTGAAAGAGACAGACCTGGTTTCTGCAGGTGTTTCCTTGTAGCCCTTTGAAACTAAGTAAACGTGAATCTACTTTCCACGTGAATCCTGAGTTGCTTCAGTGTTGCCCTGCCCATCAGTGGCTTTTTTGGGTGAATATTACTGAGTGGGTTAGTAGGTAAAGTACTGTGTACTTCAGTGACTGCTGAAGTTCAAAACTTTAAACAGGTAACTGGCATCTAGAAATGGTTTTCTGTTTCTGAGTCAGTGTAATTGAAGAAGGGCACAATTATTAATCATAATTTTTATATATCACTCAGAACTTAGTTACAGTGCTTTGAAGGTAGTAAGTGCACAATATTTGTAGAATGAATACTGTGACTTTTTCTTGTAGAGGAGTTTGGTTTGTAATCTTTCTTTTGGTGGTAGACTTTTTAGAGACTTTGAAAACTGGGTCCTTGCACCATAAAGTTAAACACACACACACATACACACACATAAATGTGAGGGCATGGGCATGTCTGTATGCGTATACACATATGTGTGAAAAATTTTGTGGATGATCTTAGGTGGTCCTTTGATTTTAAAGTCCATCATGGTCTAGTTAACTGCTATAGAAATTTGGGTGGGATAAATATTGAGACAGATAAGCGTATTTATTAAGTTCTTTTCTTTTTTAGTTTAAATATGGAAAAATTTCTTCCAAGCATAATGGGAGTGTGAAGAAGGGTGTTATTTTTGCTACCTATTCTTCCCTCATTGGTGAAAGTCAGTCTGGCGGTAAATACAAAACGAGGTTAAAACAGCTCCTGCATTGGTGTGGTGATGACTTCGATGGAGTGGTATCCTTTGCAAAAAATGTTTTTATATTTTTTAATGACACAAAAGTTAATCTAAGGATAAACATTTGGAAAACAGGAATTCTGAGGTTAAACAGACTACTGGAATTCTAGGAAGTCAGAAAATTGATTCTGTTTTGTAGTTGTCATTTAGAAGGCCAGTATTTAAGTTCCTCCTTTAGGAAAATGTTAATAGGTGTGGAACATGCTGAATGCTATATTCCCTCATTAAGTTAGTGATTTCCAGACTTCCTTGCTCGGAGCATGCATTTTACTGTCCTGCATGAAGAACACCAGTTTTGAAATGCTGATAAAATTGGTTTTCATTCGTGCTTGTACTTAATAGAACTTGCCAAAATCCTCTGTGTGCTGGACATTTCTAGCAGTAGTGGATCCTTTCCTTCATTCTAATTAAGAAATAAATATCCAGTTAAGGTTAATGCCAAATACAGTGAATGCCTCTCTGGCTAGAGAGAGGCGGGGTGTGGAATCAGGGAGAGGCAAATAGAGGGCTTCATTTATAATCGTAAAGAAAAAACAGTCTGAAGCAGTGGCCAAATGTCAAGGTTTGACAAAAGCAGATAATAGGTATGTGGATGTTAGTTGATGCTCAGAGGCTTGTTACCAGTAGCACCCCTCCTGCTGATAATCCTGTTTTGTTTTGTTTTGTTTAACTCCAGCTACTGTCTTAGAAATTTTGGCTATTTCCCAAGGCCTCTGGGAAATGAAAGTTAACTCTTCCTAAAAGATTAGAGACACTTGCTACTAATATGACATGTTCCTTAACGTATTCCTTACAGATAGTGTTTGATGAATGTCATAAAGCAAAAAACTTATGTCCTGTTGGTTCTTCAAAGCCAACCAAGACAGGCTTAGCAGTTTTAGAACTTCAGAACAAATTGCCAAAAGCCAGAGTTGTTTATGCTAGTGCCACTGGTGAGTAATTATTTATTTAAAAGTTACATGTGTAGATTATTTTTTTCAACTATATAATGTGTTTCATTTTGGGTTTTTTTTTCAGGTGCTTCTGAACCACGAAACATGGCCTATATGAACCGTCTTGGAATATGGGGTGAGGGAACTCCATTTAGAGAATTCAGTGATTTTATTCAGGCAGTAGAACGGAGGTAATGCAATTTACAGTATACACTAGCAGTATAAAAGAGGTGTTATTGCTAAAACCTCTTCTACATATGTTAAAGCCCTACTATATTTAATGATAGTTACTGTGTGCTTTAATTTTATTCAGAGGTGTTGGTGCCATGGAAATAGTTGCTATGGATATGAAGCTTAGAGGAATGTATATTGCTCGACAGCTGAGCTTTACTGGAGTGACCTTCAAAATTGAGGAAGTTCTTCTTTCTCAGAGCTATGTTAAAATGTATAATAAAGCAGTCAAACTGGTGAGCATTTTTTTCTTAACTCCTAGTACTTTTTTTTAATTGAAGTATAATTGATTTACAATGTGCTAATTTCTGGGGTACAGCAGAGTGATTCAGTTATACATATTTATATTCTTTTTCACTATAGATGATTATAAGATACTGAATGTAGTTCCCTGTACTATACATTAGAACCTTGTTGTTTTATCTGTTTTATATATAGTAGTTTGTATCTGCTAAACCCAATTTCTAGTACTTTTAATGTACCTGATAATATTTCTGTTAGCCAGTCTTGTCCAGTGTAATCTCTGTCAGCCCACAGGAGTATATTTCTGCAGTAAAACAACAGATAAGTCACCAGATCCTCATTTTCCCAATTTTCCAAGCTTTCTCTTTGTTAAAGTAATTTATGAAAAATAGCCATTTATTTCAGTTGTAATAGTTTCAAAAATCACAATGTAACTATTTCCTAAAATGACTATATTAGGTAATAAGAATTTGGGGACAACTCTCTGTGAGTGTCCTAAAAACATATGTTCAGAGATTTCCCGAGTTACTGAAGGTGTTTCATTGAATTACTGTTAAATGGTGTCTTGCACTGAACATTATTTTGATCGACTGAGTCACTTTTAAATAATTCACACTCAGAGATTGAAGTATCTAAAATGCTGGTTGTGCATTTTCAGTGGGTCATTGCCAGAGAGCGATTTCAGCAAGCTGCAGATCTGATTGACGCTGAGCAGAGAATGAAGAAATCCATGTGGGGTCAGTTCTGGTCTGCTCACCAGAGATTTTTCAAATACTTATGCATAGCATCCAAAGTTAAAAGGGTTGTGCAACTAGCTCGAGAAGAAATCAAGAATGGAAAAGTAAGTTGGAGAATGTCTGAAGAGATTCATCTTTGGTTATGTTTTTTAGTCTACTGGGTGTTGAGGTTTTCTACTTTATTATAAACCTTTTCTTTGTAAAGGACAGTTGTAAAAGTATTAACCGTAAGACTTTAAAAAATAAATTTTTCAAGATAGTAAAAGCAATGCCTGTTTATAAAGAATTTAGATAGCTCAGAAAAGTATAAACATCACTGTAATTTGGCTATCCATACATATAACCACTGATAGTATGTAGGTGTATTACCTTAAGGCTTTTTCCCTTTTGGTGAATATATATCTACTTAAAGCGCAAAGACTGGGGCAAGGGCATCAGTTGGGTCCACCACTGTAATACCATTTCCTAGCTAAGTGTTTTACACGTAGCATGTTTCAGATGTGTGTAGGATAAATAAATGGGTACACATGTACAATAATGGGTAATTCTCGCTGGAAATCTTTTTTTAAAACTAAATATTTAAAGTACATCTTGAGAAGCCACATACATATTTTTACTTATAATTATTAATATTCTTTTCTTCCTCCAGTGTGTTGTAATTGGTCTGCAGTCTACGGGAGAAGCTAGAACATTAGAAGCCTTGGAAGAAGGCGGGGGAGAATTGAATGATTTTGTTTCAACTGCCAAGTAATGTTTTTGGTTTTGAGTTTTTACTTTGATTAGTGTAAATGTTGGCATTTCCTGGAGACAAGAATTTTTGCCTTTTAAAGTTTTCCTGATCTTAGTTTTTGCAGTCCTGTGCGTATTCGTAATAGTCTGTCTACTGGAAAACATTAACCTAGAAATGCTGAAATGTCAAGTACTTTGACAATATTATGCCCAGTATTTGGACTAATGGAAGGGTTTGATCTTTATTCGTTTTGTACATCTTGAAAATCTGTAACAGCTTAGTTTAGTTTCAGTTTTAGTTTTGGCTTTGTGTATTTGAAATTACCATTATTCAGAAGAGCAGTAAGTATAGTTTGCCCCAGTTTAGTAAGTGCCAGTATAATAATTGCAGATAGTCCTGAGGTAGAAGAGTTTTTAAGAAATATTTTTGACATTGTTTTTCAGTTTATTTACAGAACCTGACAATTCTAACTCGTAGTAAAATTAACAAAAAAAACTTATGCCACCAGATTATCTTTTGCCTTAGGGAATACTCAAGCGGCTCCTTTTAAGATACACATATTTAAAAACTACTTTTTAAAGCAAGTCATGCACCTGAGAATCTGTATTTTTTCTGTTTGCGTACCTAGTACTGCCTCTGATGTGATGAGCACTAGTCACGTGGCTGCTGAGCAATTGAAATGGCTAGTCCAAATTGAGATGAGCTCTAAGTGAAATACACAAGTTTGAAAGACTTAAGGAAAAATATGTAAAATATCTCACTGATTACATGTTAAAGTGATACATTGAGTTAAAATATTAAAATTAGTTTCACCAGCTTTATTTTACTTTTTAATGTAGCTACTGGAAAAATGTAAAAATTTTGCTTGACTAACACTATATTTCTATTGGACACCCTTGGCCCAGAATATTAAAATTTATTTGAGCTAGATTGTGAATATTTTGTAAGATTGAATAAAATATATTTACTTTTTAAAAAATATGTTTGGTAAAACTATAATAATTTTGCAAACTGAACCACTAACTGTCACTTTTTCTCTCTTCTGCAGAGGAGTGTTACAGTCACTCATTGAAAAACACTTCCCTGCTCCAGATAGGAAAAAGCTTTATAGTTTGCTAGGAATCGATCTGACAGCTCCAAGTAACAACAGTTCTCCAAGAGATAGTCCTTGTAAAGAAAATAAAATAAAGAAGCGGAAAGGTGGGCACTTTCCTGTAAATGGGGTTGAAAGTAGAATAAATTTGAGCCTTTTGCTGCAGCTGTGTTTGGGGAATGTACTGCCTGCCTTGAATTGGCAGATGGTTGCTTATTTTCACTGTCACTTGTGTAGTTTTGAATGCTCGAGTAACCTGTTATTAATGAGTGACCAGTGCTAGGCACTGGTAAGCATCAGTCACACATGATCTCATTCAACCCATGAGGCATTCACATGAAAGTAGGTTTTCTTTTTTCGGTTTTATAGACAGAGGACACTAAGGCACAGAAAGGCTAAGAGATTGAGGAATATTCCCAGGTTCACACAGCTACTGTGTGGTAAATGGGGAACCAAAATCCAGGTCTTTTTGTTGTCAGTGGTGTGTGTGTGTGTGTGTGTGTTTGTTGTCAGTGGTGTGTGTGTGTGTGTGTGTGTTTATAGTCTTCTTTAAAGAGACTTCTGTTTATATTATTAGTAACAGACTCACCTGTGTTTGACATTTTCTAGTAATGCAAACTTAGGTTTGGATTTAGGTGCTTACGAAGCTGTTTGACTTTCAGAAGTTACCTTCTCAGTCTTTCTTTATCTAAAATGGGGAGAATAACTCATTGTATTGTGAAGACTCTGATGCTGTGTCTTCTAAATGCCCGACGCTTCACCCTTATATTTCATCCATTCCAAGTAATACTTTTTTTTAAAAACATTTTTAATATGCCTGAAAGTAGGTTGACTATTGTAGTATAATTAACAGGTTTTTTAAAATTACTGTTATTTTTTAGTAGTACAAAAAGTAATGCTGTCTCAGAATCAGTGATATCTTAGAATGGTCAGATAGATGGACATGTTTCCCTTTTCTGAATTGTTCTTACTATCTTGTTAATATGTGAGCTTCTTAATGTTTTCTTAGTTTTGATTGGCTTATTCCAGATATCTTTTATGAATATTCAGTAAGGTAGTTCAGATTAGCACCTTTTTTGACTTTTTAAAATGCAGTTTTATAGTTATTTTAGTATTCCATAAGGTGTTTAAAAAACATTTTATCAACCTATAATTATTAGGCCTCTTATCTCAACCTGAGATGCAATTAAATTGTGACAGTGCCAGAGATTCTGTTTCATCTCTGTTGTTCTGAATTTATTTTGAAACTTGTGCACCTGAAGGCGGGCTTGAGTTTGTACTTACATACCTATTATTTTCTTAAACATAATTGCACATAACCTTTCTTGTAAGAGTCCACAAGGTTACCACTTGTCTGTGAATTTTCTTTGCTCTTATTTATGTGCGTAAATGCTTTTCTCCACTGTTCTTGTTTGAACTAAGTGTATTAACTCATGAACTAAATGTAATTTCCCGGATCTTTAGAACAGTGTGTTTTGGCTGACCTTCTTGTTTGGGGCTTGAGGGTAGGTGAAGAAATAACTCGAGAAGCCAAAAAAGCACGAAAAGTAGGTGGCCTTACTGGTAGCAGTTCTGACGACAGTGGAAGTGAATCTGATGCCTCTGATAATGAAGAAAGTGACTACGAGAGCTCTAAAAACATGAGTTCTGGAGATGATGATGATTTCAACCCATTCAGAGACGAGTCTAGTGAGGATGATGAAGATGGTAAGTTCATCACTATGTTAAAGGACAGTTATTTCTGGGTATTTGAAATGGGGTGTTGTACTAAAACTTTTTTCCCTGTACAGAATCATCACGTAGATTCTAGTCTTTCCTTAGTGGGAGCTCCAGGCTTGTCTGTCTGCTGGCGGTTGAGCTCATTATGCGAGACCATGGCCTCCATTCTGTACAGTCACGTTGAACCTCAGGCTGTGGAGCCGCACCCCGTGGTGTGAGCATGTACCGAGCCAGTGTCACTGGTGATGCTTTCCTCTGGGAATGTTTTGTTTGTTTTGACAGATGATTAGATACATGTCTTTCCTTGACTTTCAGATCCCTGGTTAATCAGAAAAGACCACAAGAAAAACAAAGATAAAAAAAAAAGAAAAGTATAGATCCAGATTCTATTCAAAGTGCCTTATTAGCGTCAGGTCTTGGATCAAAACGACCGAGTTTTTCATCTACACCAGTTATCTCACCTGCTCCTAACAGTGCACCAGGTATCCACGTTGAAGCTTGCTTTTGTCTGTGAAACATACTTTTAAACAAAGCAAAAATTTAAATTTTGTACTGATTTTTAACAAATGTGTTTTACTTAGCTAACAGTAACACCAACAGTAATAATAGCCTTATAACAAGTCAGGACGCTGTGGAAAGGGCCCAGCAGATGAAGAAAGACCTGCTTGATAAACTAGAAAAATTAGCAGAAGACCTCCCTCCTAATACCCTGGATGAACTTATTGATGAACTTGGTGGCCCTGAGAATGTTGCTGAGGTAAGTATGACTTGATCGGGGCTGCGTCTCTTTTAGGTAATTTTTTGCCACTTTTAAACCCTTTGGAATGAGTGATACATTTGGCATCATTGTATAATTATCTGATATCCTCTCTTAGATCTTAATACAAGCCTTGCTCTACTCTTTTGTTATGCTAGAGCCTGTGAATTCCTGTCCCTCGTATCTTTGAGTGTCTATCCCAAGACACTGATCTCGGTTCCTGCACCTGTCACTTAACCTTTGTTATTATTGCCACACGTCTGTTTTCTCCACTGGAATTTGAACTTTTTAAATCCAGAAACTGTGTTGCAATGTTCTCTCCCCAAGGGTGCCTGCTGCAGCCCAGGCTGCACAATACGTGTTGGTTTCATTATCCCCTTTCATCTCCCACCAAGTTTCTCTGATGGAATAGTCCTGAGCTTCATGCGCCATAGTCAGATACCTTAATTGTAAGTGACACTGTTTGGCTTTGCAGATGACTGGCCGCAAGGGGAGGGTTGTAAGCAATGATGATGGAAGTATATCTTATGAGTCAAGATCTGAACTTGATGTCCCTGTGGAAATTCTGAATATCACAGAAAAACAAAGATTCATGGATGGAGATAAGGTATACTTTTCTCGGATGCTTTTGGATGAAAAGAATAATGCCCATACGTTTAATCTCAAAAGGGTTTTCTCTTTTAATATAAATCTTGTCCATTGAATGTTCTTATTCTATACTTTTTTAGTATTTGCACATAATCACTGAACATTTTACGTATTTTCATTATTTCCTTATAAATTGAATGTGATAAGTGTTTTGTGCACAGAATTAGTTGTAACTCTTGATAACTTTGGAGGCTTTTGAGGTCTCTAATCAGAATATTAAAATACTGTGTTCTCTTAGGTCATCTTAATGGCACGACAAATGCTATCCTAGCTTCTTTTTTTTTCCGCTTCATTGTAATTTTGAGTCTAGAAATACATTTAAACATGCCCAGATACGTTATCCTTTGGCTTTGCTGTTTCTTGTCTTGCTGTGCCATGTTCTATGAGGACAGTTCACTCTGAATGGCTACAGATTGCCTGTGCGTATCAGACCACTGCAGAGGTCAGAGTTGCTTCCAGAGGCCCTTTCTGTAGACTCTTAGTGTTAAGTATTAAAACTTTGTCAGCGTTAAGATTCTCAGATCAGTTCTTCGTCCATCTCGTTGGAGTTGCTATAAGCACTTGCTGATGAGATTGCTAAAAAATAGCAGTACCACTTCAGTCTCGTTCCTTACTCTAAGAGAAGTGGAATAAAATATCTCTTTATTCACTTTGTTTTTTATTTCACAATTTTTTTCTGCCTCTGCAACTAAAACTAGATGATAGTTATTATCATCATCAAAGTTTTAAAAATATATTTAAAAGCTCACATGTATTTTAAAGATTGTAGGTAGAGATATTATTATATTTTATGTACTTGTTTCTTTGGTAATTTAGGGCCATATGCATTAGGAATTATATTAGTTAGCATTAGTTTTGGCTGTTAAGTAACAGAAAATCCAAAATCATATTGACCTAAAGAAATTTATTTCTCCCTCATACAAGTAGGTAGACCAGGACCAGTGTGGCCCCCTGAAGGGTCTCTTCTGTCTTGTTCCTTTAGTATGTGGGTCTCCATTCCCAAGTTACCTCTATATTGCAAGACAGCTGTTTCAGATTCAATCATTACACCTCTACATTTCAGCCAGCAGAGAGGAGAAAAGATGAGAAGGGCATGTCCTTGACTAGGAATGTTTCCTGGATGTTCGTGTCACCTACAGCCTACTGGCTGGAGTGTGCCCACACTTAGCTGTAAGGCAGACTGGGAAATGTGACCTCGATCCTGGGCGTTCGTGTAACTACGCATAGCTAAAGCTGAGGGTTCCATAACTTAGGAAGTAAAGGAGGACACGTGTTGGTTCATGTTTCCCAGCTTGTCTTTGTGCAGGGGTGATCTTCTGTTTTTTCTTTCTTACTTTCGATACAGAATATTGCTATCATCTCAGAAGCTGCCAGCTCGGGTATTTCATTACAAGCAGACAGGAGGGCTAAAAATCAAAGACGGAGAGTTCACATGACTCTGGAATTGCCATGGAGTGCCGATAGAGCAATTCAGCAATTTGGTAAGTTCCTGCACTAAGTTTCGCTTAATAGCTGGGAGTCACTGGGGAAATATTTTAATGTCAGACATATTAAAACTTGACATATATGTAGGTTTTGAAGTTGTCTGTATTGCATATACCTTAAAATAGAGAGTTCATCATGAATTTATTTCTTAGCTGTTTTAAAAGGTAT